AAAAAAACGTCAAACCTCGAAATAATTCGTTCCAGCTTGTAAATAACGAAGCGTAATTTGTGAAACCAACATTCCAGACAAACTCGTCTGAGGATGATTCTAGAAGAATTTCAAAAAAAACGGAAAATTTTGCAAGTTACCCCACATTCACGAAACATTTTGTAAATTACTCCTCATTCACGAATCGCAACCCATATAAGAACTTCTGAAAACTCCTACACCACGACAAGAGCAAGTCTAAGAGTATATATTCGACGCAAGTCGTCATGAAAGAAATCCAAACACGTTACATCTATCATCCGCGTATATCCTTTCTCAAAAGAGAAAATGTCATACTCATGACACTCAACAAAAGAAAGAGAAAACAAATTCTCAAAATTGGTGTTTTACAAAAACAATGGAATTTCATGATGCTGTACATCATCATTCAAATGACTTCTCACCAAAGGAAATTTTAGGGATGAAATTTCTTTAAGGGGGGGAAGAAATGTAACGCCACGAAACATGGCCTAAATTTTATAAAACAAAAGTAGTTTTGAATATTTTTGTCCAATAAGAAACATTTATACGTTTGACTAAACATAAATGGAATTTCAAAATAATGACTTTTTATTAAAAACTTACTTTTATGGATATGTCTCGAAGAGACGAATCCAACGGTACATTTTAAGAACCAATCTGATTTATAGATTTCAAGTTATGTCAATTTTAAATATTAAAATTTGTAACTTTGACCCATAAAATAAACTCAATTCAAAAGTGATTTTATAAGATTAGAAATCATAATTTTGACACTTGACAACACCATATTTATCATTTGGATTTAATCCATATATTTAAATCAGACAAACGGTCGACCGTCGCGTTAAACATCGAAATGGACCCCGATTGTCAGACAAACGGTCGACCGTCGCCTGTCCAGCCAAGTGCCGCCGTCCACCTTCAGTCAACAACGGTCGACCGTCGGTCAACCGCGGTCAACCGTCACGGTGATCCGCCAATCCGACCTGATGAAGATCAAGGTCGACCGTCGCACCAAACGGTCGACCGTTCCGAGCCCCGTAGCTTAATTAAATTATATTTTAATAATGTTTCATCCAAATAAACTAATGCATGATTATATATTCATATTGTTCACAAGTTGTTCATGTCATATCATTCATTTCATCACACATATTGTAGCATATCATATCATATGCATGCATAAGAGATCATGTGTAATTGCGTCTCTTATAGCGTGATGTGCGGGACTTATTAGTCCGACATCACCCGTTTCGGGCTTAGTGTACGTAGATGGTATTCAGGCTTTCGAGTACCACCCCCATTTTTCTAGTCTCACCTCATTCGTGAGACTAAGGTGGCGTGAGTTCGTCGTACAACCTGGGCGAATCTCATAGTGCAAGGGTCGTCCTTGCACGTTTAGGTTAATGCATCATGTTATCATCATCAAGTACATTGATTACATAGGTGTCATGTAATCATCATCAAGAACAATCAAATTGATTAAATGTGAAATCATGTTATCATCATCAAGTACATTGATTACATAGGTGTCATGTAATCATCATCAAGAACAATTATATTGATTACATAGGTGTCATGTAATCATCATCAAGAATAATTATATCGATTAAATATGCCATCAGGTAATTATGATTAAATATTTATCATCATGATTCATCAAATTGACCATATGATAATATGTGTCATATCATGAATGTTACTATACATTTTGTGGACGTATATATATGTATATGTATATGTCTGAGAATCATTCTACAATTCTAGCATGGTACCACTCAGCGGTTTCGCTGAGCGTGTAGTTTGTATTTTTCGTTGACTACACGTAGGTAACAAGAAGACAATGATGGAACCACTCCCGGAGGGCATTGAGTCAGAGGAGATGCAAGGATGACAGGCAAATGTTGATCATCAAAATTTTAAATGTGTCATGATTTGATTATTATTGTACTTCCGCATTACTCTGAAAATATTTTTTAAATGGGTCGCGATCCATAGTCTGTAAATTTGATATTTATAAGTAATTGTCATTTTCAAATGTCATGCGAAATTTTTATTTTACTCTCGTTTCACCTTAATTCGTGTAATTCCGGGTTATACGGATTGGGGTGTTACAAATTAGCAACGGAATAGATTTTAATATGGGGCCAAACATGTCCTGCACTTTTTATGTGCGGTAAACTAAAATTTACATATTTACTTTACAACATTTTGTTATGTGTGGCTAAAAATATGTGGGGAAATGCAACTTTTCTTGTAGTGAGTGGTTGTTTAGGCTATGATTTGGGGTGGTTTTTGACCTCTAGTGCATAAGTGCAATGCAGGGACCATAGTGGGTTTAAGGGGTGTGGTGGTGTGGTGGTTTTGAGCTGGATATCCAGCCAAGGGGGGGGGGGGGGGGGGGGTGAAGTGAGAAAGGAAGAGGACAATGTGGTTTTAGGCTTGATTTGGATGTTTTGGGGTTTTGGTTTGCATAGGGGGTTTGGTCTTAGGGTGGGGTTGGGTTCAAGAATATTATGGCTATGTGGTGTGGTTTGATGGTGATAAATTGAGTCCAAGAGGGGTCATAACACTTAGCCATTATTCCATTGATTCGTTTAACGACTTTAGAATCGTGGTAGCAACTCAGGGTATATCATCCTCCCCTTTTTCAGAAGAGTTTGTCCTCAAACTCAGAATTTCTTCAAGCTCGAACTACAGGCTGATATCCTTGATGTTGAACGTAGCCGACACTGCATAGTCTCCCGAAAGGTTGATTTTGTAGGCATTCTTGGTAACAATTTTGACTTGTGTTTTGTTGGAAAACGCTCTTTTTGGAGATGAATCCAAACAAGATCACCCGGTAGAAAGTTGGTGCCCTTCCTTCTTCTGTTGATGCGTGCACTCAGTCTCTCATTCATGGTTTCAATCCTGTCTCAGACCCTGCTGTGAAGGTCCTGAATCTCCTTTGATCTCTTATCTGCTTCCCAACTGTATTTGGTGTCCATCATGATAGGATCAAGCTCAAGTGGGGTCAAAGGGTTTGAACCATAGACAACCGTAAAGGGAGATAATCCGGTAGTCTTTTTTGGGGTTTGGTTGTAAGCAAATTCAGGATGTGGTAGTAACTCCTCCCACTGTTTGATGTTCTTCTTGATGAGGGTTCGTAGAAGAGTTCCAAGGGTTCGGTTGGTGACTTTGGTTTGTCCATCAGTTTGGAGGTGGCTCGATGTACTAAACTTGAGTTTAGTACCCAACTTTCTCCATAAAGTCATCCAAAAATGGCTAATGAATTTCGTGTCCCTATTCGAGACCACGCTTCGGGGAACGCCATGGAGTTATACTATCTCTCGGAAGTAGAGATCAGCCACTTGTGAAACATCAAAGGTGGTCACATATGGTACAAAGTGTGCCATATTTGAGAATTGGTCCACCACGACCATGATAAAATCGTTGCCTCATTTTGTCCTTGGTAGCCCGATGATGAAGTCCAAGCTAACATCTTCTCATGGGGCAAAGGGCACTGGTAGAGCTAGATGCTTTCCCTGAGGCAGCGAGTGTCCTTTGGCTAAATGGAATGTGTTGCAACATTTGATGAAGTGCTCTACGTCCCGTTACATCTTAGGCTAGTAGTAGTGTTTTCTTATCATCATTTGAGTCTTGCCATCCCCATAATGACCAGCTAGCCCTCCTCCGTGGACTTTATCAATAAGGATCTCATGAGCGTTGTGCTTTGGGATGCAAAGTTGGTTACCACGGAAGAGATAATCCTCCTTGACAAGAAAATTTCCATGGGGCTGAATGAGACACTTAGAATAAGTGTCTTTGAAGTCTTCATCTTCCTTGTAAAGCTTCTTTAAAAACTCAAAACCAACAAGTTTGGTACTAAGTACCGTTAGTAATAAATGTCTCTAGGACAAGGAATTGGTGCCCTTGTTCATGGTTCCGTTTTTGTGCTTGATGGTGAAGGTGTATGGATGTACTCGACCCATTTGGCATGACGGGGTCGGAGTTTATGCTGCCCTTGGATATACTTTAACACCTCATGATTGGAGTGGAGAATGAAATCCTTACTCACAAGGTAGTGCCGCCAATGTTCAAGTGAGCGCACCAAGGCATAAAACTTGTGGTATGTAGAATATCGCCTTCTCGTGTCATTTAGCTTTTCACTAAAATACGACACCAGATGTCCTTATTGGGATAGGACAACCCCTATGCCAACTCCCGAGGCATCACATTAAACCTCGAATAGCTTGTCAAAACTAGGAAGGGCAAACATGGGAGCATGTGTTAATCGTTCCTTGATCATTTCAAAGGCTTGTTAGGGTTTGGAGTTCCACTAAAACTTCTGATTTTCCTCAAATCCATGATTGACACGGTTATGATACTAAAATCTTGTTATACCCGAGACCCGGGGTATAAACGAGTTGTTATTTTGAGGAGAAATCAAGGGATGATGCAGCTATGAGTTCAAAGTTCCAGGACACTCAATAATCGATTATGGACTTTTTTCAATCGATTATGTAGTGATGCTGCAAAAACAAAGGAACTTCAGGGATGCTGGATAGTCGATTGTCACAAGGGTGATTGTTAGGGGTAAACCGGGGGTCTTATCAAGTTGATAATTTAGTGGCGGATGTGCGGAGGAAAATGGAAGGGAAATAGTGGGCGAAAGTATGGAGGGTGTTTTAGGAGTTCATTTTTGGTATTTTATGGAAGAAAAAGAATAGGATTAAGGAGAAATGGAGGGATATGAAATGGAAGAAATATCACGGATGGATAAAACCAAGTTGGTGTTAGGAGATATTACACACTCTTATCCTAACTTGGGGTTTGAATCTAGAATTCAATTAAGATATTACACACTTAATCAAATATCTAGAACCTAAAACTCACACTTAAGATAACCACTCTTAAGATATAGAATTAGGAATTTGGCTAAAATAGCATCACACTATTTTAATAATACTCAAAGAGTAAATGGTTTTCAATATTCAAAGATATGTTACAATGGCCATATGGTCTGAGTTATACAGGGAGAGGGGAAGGGGAAAATACATAATACATTGAATGTGAACATGAGGAAGCTTCCTAGCAACATCCACTTTCAAAGTATGGGGTAACACTCATTGAATCCTGTCTCCAAAGTGGGATAAAATTCAGGGATGGGGCTGGGGTTGTGGGGCTTTTGAGCTTTGGTTTGTAGTGGTTGGTTCCTGGGTTTTAAGGCTATTATTTGGGTAAAAATGAGGGGTTGTGTTTGGCCAATAAAAGGGGACAGGGCTGGGCAATATTAGGGGTGGTTTTGGACATATAGGTTTGGGTTATTTGTGGGGGAACATGGGCAGGGATTAGTGGTTTGTGGTGGGTCAGGATTTTGGCTCTTTTTGGGTGTTGTGTTGGGGTTGTGAAGTGTATTTTGTCCAGGGGATGAATGGAATAAAGGGAGGGCTTTATTTGTTTAATAAAAGGCTTAAAAGAAGGAAAATAACAACAAACAAGATGTTTTATTTTACACACTTATTTTCTGCCAGGGCTAAAATAAGAGTAGGAAAAGCTTTATTTTGAAATGAATTAAATGGCAAGGAGTTTTGGATGTTTAGGGTTGGGTTGGACGGAGTGGGATTTGGTCTGTGGAAACCTTGGGTCCGAAGTTATTCAGGCCTCTTGGGTTGAAGGACTCGGAATTCTCACTAAAACGGATCATAATGCTTGAACTTAAGTCCTTTGGTTCCCATGGGAGTGTGGGACATGGGGGAGGGTAGGATAGGGCCGGGCCCAGATATAACATCCTCCCGGTCTTCAAAAGAGTTTGCCCTCAAACTCAACGGATAATCAAGATCGTCATATGGACTAAGGTCCCTTTTTTTGAATGTGGCAGCAACTCTTTGATCTCTTGCAAGGTCAACCATGTAGGAATTGTCGTTGACTCGGGCTAGCACTTCGAATGGGCCATCGTCTCGGAATTCCCGCCTTGACTTGCGTTTCTCAGAAAAACGCTCTCTTTGAATATGGACCCACACTAGGTCACCGGGTTGAAAGTGGGTGGGATTTTTCAACTCACTTTTCTTCTCAAGCTTTTCAAGAGTCTTATAATAAAACTCGGATGTTTCTCGTATTCCTTCTTTACTTGGAACCTGCAAAAACTTAACAAACTTGGCACGAGGTACCGTCAGTGAAGATAGCTTTTGAGGCGAGGCTTCCACATCTTGGCTCATAGCTCCACATTGAAATTTCTTCTTATCAACTCGCATGTTTAAGCTAGTTAAGCCATAGCTTAAGACCTCATCTTTGGTGGCAGCAACATCCTTCTTCTTTAATTCACCATTGGGTTTGTTTTCACCTAAACTGAGATGAGCCCGTGGTTCTATCCCTTGGTGAGGCGTGGACACGGGTAGGAGTAAACATGCCGAAGCCTCTTTTCTCAATGAATCCACAAAATTAGGTGTCCATGGCATGTCAATATGAAATAAAGAAAATCTACGTAATTCCACTTGTAGTTCTCTTCCAGGGTTGAGCCACTCAATGGAACACGATTTCACAAGGGGTTTGATTCCAAGCTCCTTTTGATTAGCCCAACTGCTCAATGGCCTATCCATGATCATGAGCTCATATTCTTCATGGGTTTGAGCCTTCACATCATCTAGTGGTTCCTTAAGTCCCGATGAGTATGATTTATCTTCTTCCCTTTCAACCAATGGTTTCAAATGCTCATCAACAGTATAACAAGCAATCTCTTGACAAGGGAAGCTATCAGGATTCTTAGGAATAGATGAACAGGTTTTTGGTGGGGGTATGACCAAGGCATTCGGTGGAGAGGCTATGGTTTTGTGGGGGTTTTGAGTGGTGAAAGTGGAGGTGGTTCTGGGGGTGTTTTGGACAGTTTGTGGAGGGGTTATGGACAAGGGCTTAGGAAAGTTTGAAGGTAGAGTTTTGGGGTTAATTTGGGTAGTATTCAAGGAAGAAAAGGAGATGGTTTGTGAGGACTTTTGGGGCAGGGGTGCTAAATGGGTATTTGGACCATTTTGGGCAGTAGCTAGGGATGGAACATTGATGGGTTTTGAGGAGTTTTGGGGCAGAGGTGTGGAGAAGGTGTTGGGGTGAATATGGGCAGTGGCTAAGGAAGGTAAAGAGGTTGTTTTAGTCGGAACTTTGGGTAGGTGTGAGGGAGTTGGGTGAGAGATGTTTCGGACAGCATGGATGCAAGGTAAAGAGGGGACTTTAGAGGGAGTTTGGGTGTTGCGGATGGTGGTGGCTTCGGAAATGATTTGGGTAGTGTGAGAAGTCTGCGAAGATCGGGTTTTAGAGGAGGTTAAGGTTGTGGGAGAGAGGGCAATATGGAGTGGCTTTTGTTGTGGGGAAGGTGGTATGACTTTAGAAAGAGTATTGGGTGAAAAAGGGAGATTATGTTCAAGTACCTGGTGGAGATGATCTTTGGGAGTAAATCTCTTAATTAAGAGTTTTCTTAACTTTTCCCAAGTTATCACCTTAGCCTTTCCTTGGAGCTTTCGTTTTGAAGCAACGCTAGCCCACCATGTAGAGGCATGTGTTTGAAACTTTGCCACCACTAGCTTGACCTTCTTGTCTTCGGGCACGTCTTTGAGTGTAAAGACGTCTTCAACTTTTGCTAGCCACTTTGAGAACTTCTCCGGGTCGTTTCTTCCCTCAAACGTGGGAATCTCCACTGAATTAGTGAGCTCCTTGATTTGTTTCAACACAAGCTCAACTTCCTTCTTTAGTTTCTTCTAAGCAGCAGCTAATTCACCTTGAAACATGTTTTGAGGAGAGCTTGGCATAGTGGATATATGGCTTGAAGAGTGTACAGTTGACAGTAACAAAAGAGATGAGGAAGGCGTGTTTAGATGATCCCTTAGGGATGTTCAACACAAAGCTCTGATACCAGATGTTAGGGGTAAACCGGGGGTCTTATCAAGTTGATAATTTAGTGGCGGATGTGCAGAGGAAAATGCAAGGGAAATAGTGGGCGAAAGTATGGAGGGTGTTTTAGGAGTTCTTTTTTGGTATTTTATGGAAGAAAAAGAATAGGATTAAGGAGAAATGGAGGGATTTGAAATGGAAGAAATATCACGGATGGATAAAACAAAGTTGGTGTTAGGAGATATTACACACTCTTATCCTAACTTGGGGTTTGAATCTAGAATTCAATTAAGATATTACACACTTAATCAAATATCTAGAACCTAAAACTCACACTTAAGATAACCACTCTTAAGATATAGAATTAGGAATTTGGCTAAAATAGCATCACACTATTTTAATAATACTCAAAGAGTAAATGGTTTTCAATATTCAAAGATGTGTTACAATGGCCATATGGCCTGAGTTATACAGGGAGAGGGGAAAGGGAAAATACATAATACATTGAATGTGAACATGAGGAAGCTTCCTAGCAACATCCACTTCCAAAGTATGGGGTAACACTCATTGAATCCCTTCTCCAAAGTGGGATAAAATTCAGGGATGGGGCTGGGGTTGTGGGGCTTTTGAGCTTTGGTTTGTAGTGGTTGGTTCCTGGGTTTTAAGGCTATTATTTGGGTAAAAATGAGGGGTTGTGTTTGGCCAATAAAAGGGGACAGGGCTGGGCAATATTAGGGGTGGTTTTGGACATATAGGTTTGGGTTATTTGTGGGGGAACATGGGCAGGGATTAGTGGTTTGTGGTGGGT